ACTAGACTTAGAAATTATATTTCGTTTGTTATTATATCATTTCCTGACAATGGTGAGAGTACCCACCGCACGTTCGAAGGTTATTCTGACATTTATTTAGAACTACTCTTCTTCTACATTGTCTACAAGCATAGTAAGTTAGGTTTATGAGAAACCGTTAGGCTTGCAGAATTTTCTGAAAAAGTAGAAACACGTTGTATCCACATATTCCGTCGCATCATTATTTAAGTGAACCAAATAGAGTGATCAGTAGAGACGTGTAGGACAGCTGATTTTTGTAGCCTGAGTGCTGCTCTATAAAAATTTTCATGGTCTGTATCTGTCCTGCCCTATGGCGTCAGTGCCCTTACCCTGTCTTGCTCTATAAAATTTCTTGACGCTTGCTCACTTTTCAGTAGCATGTAGTTTAGTCCAATTCTGCCAGAAACACATATATGACGCACATGTATTACGCTTCCAGGTATCACTGTATTTTAAAATCTTACCTAGTTTTCTCTTCTTTTTATAGTTTTGAATATTTAATTACATATACTATACTTATTTTGTTTGAAAATCTGTATTTTCCTTTAATGAAGACATTCTTTTCATCCTGTCAATGCCGACGTTAATTTTTGCTTTTAATCATATATAGAGACTTTTCGCTTATCTGTCGTTAAAGCCTACATATAAATTAAATTCTGGTTTGTGATTATCTAAAGTGAAATTAATGAATGAACGATGAACGTAATATTATAAAACTTTCATAACTATGGCGAATTCCTCTAGCGTAATAGCTCAACTCAATTATTTATCGTTGCAAGTTAATCGTTATTTACCCATTCCACTATTTATCCTAGGCTCAATCGGTTCGACATTAAATGTTCTTATATTTACGAGAAAATCGTTAAAGACAAATTCCTGTACCAAGTATTTTCTAGCATCGACCACAGCCAATTTTTTTGTTATATATTTTGTCATTCTACTTCGGATATTAAGTGATGGCTACGGAATAGATCCAAGCATATATTCAAATGAATTTTGTAAAATACGTTATTACATTACGTACACTGCGCGTTCATTGTCATCGTGGTTTATTGTTCTGGCTTGTGTCGATCGATTTGCATCAAGTTGTCAAACAGCAAAATATCGGAAATTTAGCACAGTTCCAATAGCCTATTTTTCAATCGCTACCGCAACACTGCTCGGTTTCTTGAGCTACTTACATGTACCTCTTTTATTTGGTGTTCAATATACAACGAATGGAATTCCATCGTGTTATGCTCTCACTGGCCCATATCGAATATTTGCAGATTTGTTTTATACCGTTTGCTATGCAGCAGTTCCACCTATAATAATGATCACGTTTGGTATTTTAATCGTGTTAAACATCAAAAATACGCATCGACAAATTACTCCAGCTATGTCTACTGGTGTTATTGGTAATCGTAGAAAGGATCATCACTTCATGATAATGTTACTATTTCAAGTGGGCACTATTTTCGTATTTACAATGCCCATTGCTATATAAAAACTCTATGATACATTCACATTAAATTTGCCTAAAAGTGATTTGACTCGAGCACAAGATAATTTTGCACTCCAACTCGTAAGAGTATTATCCTATTTTGGACACTGTTGTAGCTTCTATCTTTTCACATGGTGCGGACGAACATTCAGAAATGAATTATTAAAAATAATTGATGCGACTTTCACACGCATATATGGAGCTGATAATCATCGATATCTTGCACGTCATCCAGTTGAATTGAAAGCCAGAATGTCGAGAACAATGAATGAACTATATTGAGAGATATATGTAAAAAATAGTGATCTCTTCACACACTGACTCGTACTTTCTTACTCTATGCTGAGATAAGAATCCACAACTTGTTTTATTTTACTTGCTTGAATTGCACTTAAAATAACTAAGACACGAATCAGTGGATAACATGGCATTTTAGAATGAAGATATTAAGGCCTCAAAGACTTTTAGTAATTGAATGAGTTATTTTCTGGTTTTTTTACTCATTTTCTTTTCAACAGACGTTTGAATCACTATTTATCTTCTCCTGACTCCTTCTTGTGCTTCTCTTTTCACAGTTAGTTTTCTCTATAATCATCAGTTTCAACTAGGCGAACAGTTATAATTAAGACTTAATTATAATTTAAAAGTATCAATTTTTCTGATCATCAAAAGAAGATACTTTTGTTCACCAAATTTTCCAGCATCACATGACGTTCCGTTTGAACTAATGATCTTAATTTGGTTGATGATACTGGTGTAGATGGATGATCAACTAAAACTGACGAACCAATTTGAGCTGAGTTGAGTTGAATTTGAGAAGCAGAGAAGATATGGTGAAATTTGACTGATATTATGAAAGAAGAAGGGATGATGAAGTCTTAAAAGATTTGGTGATCGAAAGTATCTTTTTTTGGTGATCAAAAGTACATTTACTCATAATTTAATTGAGCTACGCTGTACATTTTATTATGTTGAAACAAAAAATTCGTATGAGAATATTCTTTCTTTCGTTGAGTATAGGATACAAGAGATGTTTGATGCATAAGAGAAAGAAGTGGTCAACAAAATAACGCATTTTGCCCAAAATATCATATACGCGTGATAGTCGAAGGGTCACTTAAGGGGGGCGCGGGGTGGAGAATTTCTCAAGCTACAATTTGATATATATAATATAGAGAAAAAAGTCAATAAGAAAAAAAACTAGATAGATTTACAAAATGAGTCATACTGGAAATACTTGTTACTAAGTAAAGCTAGTCTAACAAAAACTTACCAAGGTCAACTTTCATGACCGTTCTTCTTTTAGTATCGGCATGTCAAGCCGAGCCAAATATTCTTTCAATCAATCACATCGTCAAAAATGCTTTTCACATCCCTTCTGCGTAGTTGCAATAAGTTTTATATTTTATGTGTAATTTCTTAAGTAACGATATCTGGAGTGTTACTCACGTTTGCTCTTTTCTCTTCGTAAAACGGACGAACATACATCTTTTATTAATATTAGAAAATAAATATCAGAAGAAACCGAGGATGATGGGAACATCAATTTATTTTCTACAATATAGTGCATGTGTATCTTTGTGAACAGGTTAGAGTAATAGATCTAGTATTATGTTTAATAGCTAATTAAAGTTCATATTAAAGTCCTATCTTACCAAATGAAAAGCAAAATCCCCACTTAAAATATCATATAAGAGGTCGTTCACATATTACGCAAGCTTTCGTAGACATCCTTCTCGTTCAGATTACTAATGATTTGAAAACTACTTCATCCCTGCTTCTCTCGACCAAACAACAAAAGATCGCTCTTAATGAGCTTTGTGGAAATTCGTTGTAAAAGCTAATAAAAAATTAAATGAAACGCTATCTTTTGGCGGAAAACGTTTTCTTATTCTGTTCTTCTAGCTTTTGTCAACAATTTTGGTGAATATCTGTCGACTTTAATTAATATCTGGGAAACCTGGTTCTGTCTCGCTATAGAAAAAGAGTATAAAATAAACGTTGAGTTACGGGTCAGGAAAATAGCTTAGACCAATTTCTCGTTCGTAACTGTTTATTCTGCTTTTTATAATAAGTAATCTTCCGAAGGAGCCCGTCAGCCACCTACAATCACTTGTAGTCCTTTGCTAACGCGCCCTGTAGAATGATCAGGCTATCTGCTTATTTATTTTCAGATCATTCTTATTATTGGACATTCTGACTTCCCTTCGAACTCAGCAAAGTTGATTTCATATTTGAAAACAACTTTTTCGTTTTTTCAATAATTTCTATAGATACCTCAGGGAAAACAGTTTTTTATTCCATTTTCAACGAACTTCTTTCCATTGGAACTTTTGGAAATAATTAGAAATTAATTTGACTTAATTTAAAAAGTCTCATATTAAATTAGTGCGCATTAGTTTTTTTCGATTTGCGACAATTTGATATATATAATGTAGAGAAAAAAGTGTTCTAGGATACCTTGACAATAGAAATGTTTCTTTAAAGTTGTAATTCTGCTCGTAGTACTCAATTTTCTTCATGAGAACTCAACTTTTATGCAATAAAAGTATCCTGTTCGGAATGAGGATCAAACACTGGGCCGACCAATGTGTATTTCGAAAATTTTTCTTAGTTTTCATTTTTTGATGAATTTTTTAACTTGAAAATTCGACAAAACCTAAAGTAATTGGATAAGATGGAAATACATATTGGTCGACCCATATTTTGATCCTGATTCCAAATAGGATATTTTTATTGCATACAAGTTGAGTTCTCATGAAGAAAATGAAGAATTACGAGCAGAATTTCAACTTTAAAGAAACATTTCTATTGTCAAGGTACCCTAAGACACTTTTTTTCTCTATATTATATATATATCAAATTGTAGTCTGAGAAATTCTCTATCAGATGAGGTATTGTTTGAATGCTTTTGTTATGCCGTTATTTTTTAAATGGGACTTTAAGCTAGTAAATAAGACTAAATTAATGTTAATTGGCACTAATTAGTTATTAACAGGAAGGAGAAAGCAAAAGTCTTTTCTTCCTTTCGCATAGTTAATACTCTGTGCATTTCTCTATCGATCTAGGTGAGAACTAAATTTTTATGATGAAAGAGGAACGGCCAGGAACCTTTTTAATAGTAACCCTGTGCTCAAAAATTTAACATCAAATTGTGGCTTGAGAAATTCTTTCGCTCTTTTTTAGCCAAATAATATTAGGAAGCCGAAAAAAGTTCAAAATAAAGTGTTCCCTAAAGGTGGAAAATTTTAAAGAAAATCGAAATAGGGGATCCCCTCCCCGTTAAACGTCCCAGAAGTGCAGATTTTTGTTAGAGCATTAGACTATTACCCTAGTGAAACTCCTTGTAAGTAATATCTTGGGAACAGAAATATCCCAAGATCTTGGATTTTTGAATCTTTCACACAAGATTTTGGGAACAGAAATTTCAAGATCTTAGGTGGATCCACTCAAGATGTTGAAGATCTTAAGAGACGATTCGCCAGCCCATCAAGAAATCAAGTCACGAGTGAAAAATTGGGATATACTTTTTATTTCATATTCGAATTCTACTATCAAAACTGGGGTTATGAAAATTAAAAATAAACTTCGGACTATTCTGGTTGAATTACAGAATTTTTCAAAATGGGCACCATCGTCGATTTGCGAAGAGTAGCCATCTCTGATATTTTGACGCCATTTTTTATCCGTTCTGTTCGAGCAATATCTCATTCGAAAGCCTGATAAAACATAAAGAATATCACATAGTTCTTGATATTCTGAAGTAGGAAATGACTGTTTAATTCCAACACGACGAATTCTTTCCAATAAATAATCAATCTGAACCTTCAACGCCCGTTCGTAGGTTGAATAATCCAAGTGATAATTGCAGGTCACCAGTTTTTACATTTCGTCATGAAAATAAGCCACAACTAACATTCTAACAGCTGTTCAAAAGAAATGAAAATTGTACGACGAAAATTTCACACAAAAAGAAGAACAATATAAAGTAGGCGATTGCGTGGGTATTATGAATGTGGAAAATTAAAATCAAGAATCTAATTTTAATTTTGGCTACGTAAGGGAATCTAGCAGCGGATTCGAGTATTTCTTGCTAATATTCGTCAATGAGCTTGTGTAAACTCTCTCTTTGCTTGTGTAACATGCAGAATTCAATTCCCTATCGAATGGTGGCCTTTATGAGAGCCTCTAAGTCTCTTTCAAGTTTTTGGATACGTTTCTCTAGCACTTTTACTCTCGTTCTATACGGTGAGCTTCACAATATTGATTCGTCAATCACATGATTAGAAAGAAAACGAGTGGAGAAAAGTATAGTTATATTCGATAAATGCATGAAGTGGAAAAAGAATATTCTAGTGTGGTAGCGATATGATTGTATGGAAGTTCCCACATAGCACAATATGGAGATTGTGTTGAAATGTTATTCTATGTAGGATATATAGAATCAGCGGCATGTGTAATCATTGAATGAAATTTACATAATAAAGCAATTTTTGAACTCTATGAGGATCACTAGAGTATTGATCGCGCCGAACATTGCAAAAATAAATATGTAGACAGTGTTTTCAGAAAATGAGAGATATACGCATGATAAAGAACGAATAAGCCCATATCCAGTGGACAAGTGTGAAATACCAAAAATCTTCACCGGCATAAAATGCATCTTTGATCCCGTATGGTGGCCACGTGAGCTTGAGATTTCCAATAGTGGTTGTTCAGCTGCTGTCAGGTGTAAGGTATGAACGTTTAGGAGAAAATGCTCGTGAGGAGCAAGGACTATTCAAATTGAAGGCAAAGTCGCTAATATCGCTTGAAGTTTTTACAGGTCGTCGAGCATTTCGTCGTTCATCCTTGTTGTTGTAAACGTTGTCCAGATCGCTAAAATCGGCGGCAGTCAATAATGCGGAAAAAATATTTTCAGACGAATCTGAAGACTTAGTCGATGCGACATCACGATTAGCGAATGGTAACGAGGGTAAAACAATTTTAGAATCAACAATATTTTCGTCCATTGTCATAAGCATATTCGATGGTATGACGGCAAATCCAAATGAGTGACCAGCAATATCATCACTTGATGAATCCGATTGTACGTCACTGAAATTAGTGCAAAAGATTTGTCTCGAATAATCAATTTCAAGTAATTGACATGATACGTACTTGACATCTGTCGACGTATTAACAGGAGAATGAAATTTTTTTGCTGGAATCGAAATGTTATTAATGGTAATTCTTTGTTCATCCACTTTTCCCTTAGGGAAGCCGTCAAAACTATGAACGAATCAATCGGATCAAACGAATCATTCGGATCATTCGGATCATTCGAATCATTCGGATCATTCGTAGAATAATGTAAAGCGCTCCTCTGTGATGTTTGTAT